TTCTGTGTCTGTGTTAATTGGTTTCCCTTTTCTTTGTTGAAGAGGGTCTGTGCAATCCTTCTGCCTAGTCCGCCATCTTGCCCCGCCTCCTGCTCTCGCCTTCTTAAAACTCCTCCCCAAGCTTCCGGGATCTACCCCCTCATGGTTTCCCTCCCAGTTTCTGTGGTGAACTCACTTTCCTCTGCTTCTCCTGGAAATGATGCCAGCACCCCTAGGGAACCTTTTCCCTACTCAGCTCTTTGACTGGGGGACATGCTGTACCCATGGCTTTAACCACCACTTGCTAACAGGCTGATGAGCTCTCTTGGAACCTCCTGGGTATCCTATAGGCCCCCTGTGCTGTGCAGGGCCACGCAGGGAATCACAGACTCTCCTCCAGGCCTGAGCTCCAGTGGGCCCTGTAAGGATTAGTGTATCAACTTTGCAGAGACCCTAAGCCAGGATCAACTGTGATGCCTCTTCCTCCTTTGGCTAGCCCAGAACTGTGGATCTATGTCCTCCTGAACATCTCTCTACTCTCACCCCTTCTCTGAATATGCTGTGCCCCAGCTTTAACCTCTTGCTGTATCAGTCTCCATCCTGTGCAAGGTGGAGTCCAGCCCATCTGCCTGGAGTACAGAGCCTGACAGGGCCTGCAGTTACTCTGAGCTTCCTGTAGTATATGGAATACAGAGTGCTCTCTTGCCTCCATGGGGCCACCTTCTCAGCTCCTTTGGCTCAGCTAAAGTCAGCTCAGCTGTCACCTCCTCCAGAGGGCTGCACACACACACCCTGCCACCTTGTGCAGGTTCAGGTAGGTGGCCCCTCTCTCTGTCCCATGGCATTCATTGCACAATCACATCACAGCCCTTCTCATACTCTAGGGTGCCTGCTTGGTGACTTGTTTGCCTTTCCAACTGAACTGTGAGCTCCCTGAAGGCAGGGGCTTTGTCTTTCACATCTGTATACTCCAAAGATAGTCCAGTGCTTGGTACATAGTTGGCCTTCAGAAAATAGAAGGGGAAAATGAAGAAATTCACAGAAGAGGAATAAGAGGCACTGGGAACCTACCATGCCAGGTAAGGTTGGGACCGGGGCCACCGCACAGATGGTTTCATTCGGGTACTTGACAGGCCTACAGAAAACAAGCAGACACACAGACATTCTGCTACTGGAAGAGTTTTAAAGCTTTGCTATTCCCTCCTGGGCAGGTGTCCTGGAGAAGATCTTGCACATGAGCACCAGGAGATAGGCAGAAGACTGTTCATAGCAGCAAAAAGCTGGGAATAATCCATGGGAGGAGAATGCTTCAATAATTGTAGCATGTTTACAACAGGATGAAATACAAGAATTGGAGCTATGTGTACAACTCTCATGACCCTTGCTATGAAGTAAGTTACAGGATAAATAGCATCAAAAAACAAGTTAGAGAATATAGAGACTACGACTTCATTTGTAAGTTCCTTAAATATGCAAAGCTAAACAACTTATTATTTGGATACAGCCACATGTGTGTGATTAACTAATAAAGGAAACCAAAAGAATGATGAATTTAGGAAAATGATATGGTAGATTGAAAAAAAGTAGCCATCACATTTGGCACTCCTTCTATTAAAGGTGGAAGCTCTGGTGGCATAGTGCCTAAAGCATTTGGCTACTAACCAGAAGGCTGGCGGTTCAAACCCATCAGCCACTCCTCAGAAGTAATACTGGGCAATCAACTTCCGTAGTGATACTGCCTTGGAAGCCCAAGGAGGGGTCACTATGAGTCGGATTAGACTTGACAACAATGAGTAATGAGTTCCTATTAAAGGTGGAGATTGTTTCTCCACTGCATGGATGTAGACTTGGTCATGTAACTAGATTTGCCCGATAAGATGTTAGCAAATGTAACACAAGCAGAGGGGGGCATTGGTGATTCACTGGTAGAATTCTCACCTTCCATTCAGGAGACCTGGGTTTGATTCCTGGCCAATGCATCTCATCCCCAGCTACCGCCCATCTGTCAGCGGAGGCTTGTGTGCTGCTATGATGCTGACCAGGTTTCAGTGCAGCTTCCAGACTAAGACAAACTAGGAAGAAAGGCCCAGTGATCTACTTCTGAAAATCAGCCAATAATACCCTATGGATCAAAATGGTCCAACCTGCAACCAATCACAGAGATGGCACAGGACTGGGCAGTGTTTTGTTGTCCACAGGGTTACTAAGAGTTGGGGCCAACTTCACAGCAGCTAACAAGAACAATAGCACCAGCAGAGGCCTGAAAAGCATTTGTGTATTGGGGCTGTTGTCTCTTATTGCTGGGTAACCCTTAGATTACCATGTGATGAAGCTTGAGCCAGCCTGCTGGAGAGGCCATGAGGAAGAGAGCCAAGGTGTCCTGGCCCACAGCCTGCCAACTGCCAAGCATGGGAGTGAGACCATCCTGAGCAGGCATCTGTGAGAGCCTAGATGAGACCAACAGAAGAGCTGCCCAACTGAGCCCAGCCCAAACTCCTGACTATAGAATCAAGGGCTAAATAATGATTGTTGTTATAAGCCACTAAGTTTTGGGGTGGGTGGTTTGTTATACGGCAGTATATTCTTAATAAGTTGGTTACGTTTTGGAGGAGGAGAGAGAAGGATGTGCTCAAAGAGAAGCCTGCAGGGAGCCTTAATGGAATTGGAAGTGGCCTAGTTCTTAAGCCTGGTGGTGGGTGTATATATGTTGTTGTTGTTTGCCGTCGAGTCAGCCCCGACTCATAGCGACCCCTCCTTGGGTTTCCGAGGCAGTATCACTACGGAAGTAGGATTGCCCAACCTTCCTTCCGAGGAGTGGCTGGTGGGTTTGAACCACCAGCCTTCTGGTGAGCAGTCAAGTGCCTTAGGCACTCTGCCACCAGAGCTCCTTGGTGGTAGGTATTGGGGTGGTTAGCTCATCATTCTTTACAACTTATATATACATTGCATACATTCATTTGCATGCATGAAAAACAGAGAGACCCTTTATGGAAATCGATGACAAGCTAGACTATTTTTGCGAAATAATCCCCTTTAGGGTAATTTGTCAGAAGGAAGGTTGGGCAATCTACTTCCATAGTGATACCACCTCAGAAACCCAAGGAGGGGTTGCTGAGTCAGGTTTGATTTGATGACACATAACAACAACAACAACAAGGGTAATTTGGGATATGAAATATATAATTTTGTACCATTTAACAATTTTTGTTAAAAATTTTCAAAAATTTTTTGAAAAAAAAATTTAAAAAGTTATTGGTTAGCTTGAGAAGCTCATGGGGACAGTGATGACTCTAGGGGAAGTGGACCCTAGTTGGAGAGGCTGTTGATCTTACACTATTAAATGGCATCATGTGCCTGGCAGATCTTTGCTCCCTCCTGCCCTCAAGCCACTGACCTCTCAACAAGCACACTGATGGTGGGTCCTTGGGTCCCTTTGGCTGTCACCAGATGGAGAGAGGCATCTGTACCCAGCACCACACATTTCATTCTGGATTTCACTGGGACTCCAGGATACATGTTCTGCCCTTTGTAGACTAAGAAGTAGTCTAGGAAGTAAATGCTTTGGCAGAAACATCCCTCAGGAAGAGCAACGACCCCAAGAGGGAATCCTGGAGAAAAACAATCACACAAACAGGTCAGAAAAGGGGGCAGGGTTTGCAGACACGGATGCAGGGTCTGACCAGCAAGTACAGGAGAGACTTACAGATGTGGAGACAAAATCAATTAGGCAATGAGCGCTCTCTGAGAGTGAAATCAGTAAAATCCAGTGCCTACTGGGAGGGGAGAAGAGAGCCCTTCTGGGGAAACTCCTCTGTGTATTAACAGGAGTTGGGGAGAAGGATGTCTGGAGGACCAAATGTCTGGAGGAGGGCAGAGCCAGCACTGAAACAGAAGGAAGCCACAGCTTGGGTAGATACTGAGCTATGGCTGACCAACTGATTGTAAAGGTGCATCAGTAGAAAGGAAGAGGTTTCAGAAAAGAAGAGGTCATTGGGTGTGTGGTCAAACAACAAGAATTTATCAATACCTAGATAAATGAAATTAAGTTAACAGGTCAGTGGTTGTGAAATTATGATCACTCTTCTTTCTTTGAAATCTCTGTTGCTATTATAATAATGTGGTGAGTGCAATAAATAAAATTCACAGGGCCTTTAGTCTATGTTTGTCTTAGCATCATGTGGGAAGGACAGACTCTTATTCTAAATAACCACCGAGTTCTTCAGGTAGAAATAGAGCAAGTGAGAAAGCAACTCCACTGGCTTGATGAAGCCTCCCTGAGGACAGGCAGTTCCCATTCTAATCACGAGCTGCCCAGTGAACAAGGTGCTGTTGCTGGTCTGCCTCATGAAGTCACTTGCTTGGAAAGCTGCCTAGAGAAGATGGCCCACTCCACATTCACGTGAAGCATGCACCCAATTGTAAAATGACAAACCACAGACTCATTAATCACTCTTTTTTTAAAAGTTTGGTTAGAAGCAGACACTTGTCTAGCAACTGATTAATGTAGGGTAAATGGATATCATTGATTTTCTATACCTGCAAAGCTAGACCAGGACCCTAGAGCCCCAAGGAGAGCTGCTGAACTCACAGTGACTGCTTGATAGGTGTCTTAGCTCCAATACTGATGAGGATTCTGCTGAATGGGATGGAATGGAGTAGTAGAAAAGTAAACACACTTATTTTGAGAGTCTGGGGGCAGGAAGGAGGCGGCTGAGGCCACCATATTGTGCACTGTTAGAGACACTTCTTCACTGGAATGTGATAATGAAGGCAATGGTCATACTTGCAGGGCCGAGTACAGTGCCTGGCCCAGAACAAGCCCTCAACAAATATGTGGGGAATAGAAAGCATCAGTACATATTATGTTCAATTAATGTTTATTGAATGAATGAATGAGATAGCAGGACCAGAGCCCCAAGGTGACTTTAAGAACACAAAGGTAAAGGAAGGCCCAGATTCTTTAGGAATTCAGAGCTCTTGGGGCCTTGTTGCCTGGAGACCCACTGTAGTGCAGTGAATTACATGGTATGGCTTTTCTATCCAGTGTTTGTGACTCCCACCAGATTACTGAGTGGGACCATGCAGATAAGGTGTATGAACTCTATTGTGAGGATTGGTTAGTTTTGCTATGCTGCTGGGTTTAAAATGAGCCCTTTTGGGACCTCTGGTGGCATAGTACCTAAGGCATTTGACTGCTAAGCAGAAGGCTGGTGGTTCAAACCCACAAGCCACTCCTTGGAAGAAAGGTTGGGCAATCTACTTTTGTAGAGATATCACCTTGGAAACCCAAGGAGGGGTCACTATAAGTCTGATCCAACTTGATGGCAGTGCGTGCATTAGAAGCAGAAGAGGGTATCTCACTGCCATCAAGAGAGAATAGCTGGAGGTGGAGTGGAGTGGAGTGCAGCATGTCCTTGGACTCAAGATCCCTGTGCTGGACCTCGGCAGAGATGCTCAGCAGACATCCCCAACAGAGAGACCCGGCAGAGAGACAGCAGCAGTGGAACCAAGAGACATGAGTGGGGTGCATCTAGGTGTACCTATCAGCAAGCTAAAAGAGCTTTGTAACACTTGCCCAAGCAGGGCAGAGGCCAAGCCGAGAGGCCAAGGGCCAGAGCGGTGTGCCTGAGGGCACAGCAGAGGCAAGACTGTCCTGATCGAAGAATTGTGTCCTAAGCACATTCCTGAACCTGAATTGTAGCCTGTTACTTCCCTAATAAATCCACAATCATGAGTATTGTCTGTGAGTTCTGTGTGGCCACTGCAATGAACCCAGCAGAGAAGTAGTGAGCGCTGTGGGAGGGACGGTTTGTGTAAAGGCTGGAGAGTGGTGGTATGTCTGGCCTCATAGGAGTAAGCCTTAGGCTGCTTAGTCTATCTTCCCCTTGTGAAGTCAGAGGAGGTCAGAGGATGCTGCCTCCATGCCCTTTTTGCACCCACCTAGGAGCTCTGGTGGCATAATGCCTAAGGCACTTGACTGCTAACCAGAAAGTTGGTGGTTCAAACCTACCAGCAACTCCGCAGGGGGAAGAGTGGGCAATCTACCTCCGTAAAGATTTACTGCCTTGGAGACCCAAAGGGGGTCACTATGAGTCGGAATTGACTCGATGACAGCGAGTTTGTTTGTTTGTTTTGGTTTTGAGGTATTAGGCAGACAGGAAGGGGTAAGGGGGTAGGGGTAGGGGGTAGCTCACCTACAGCCATGTCCCACAGTGTGAGCACACCATCCTCGCAGGCCAGCACCAGGTAGGAGCAGGAGAAGCTGAGAGCAGAGGCTACAATGGGTGCCGCACATGGCCACACACCTTCAGGATCTAGGGGGAGGATACCACTTACCAGCCTGCCCCCTGGAGCCCCACACCCCCCTAGCAACTCCACCTGAACAACATGAGACCCAGACAGTCTATCTGTCTAGGTCATGGGCACCAAGAGCACCTATCTGGATTCACCACCTGTCTCCTCTGTATGCAGTGCTTTTCTTCTTTCTTAGGGTATATAATAATCGTACTATTCTACAGCTAACATTTAATGAGTACTTGCTAGGTGCTAAACACTGTGTTAAGAATATTACATGCATAATTTCACTTAATTCTTATAAGGATCCTATTGTTAGGTCCTATTAGACCTCCATTTTATGAGGAGACTGAGGCAGAGAAGTGATTGACTTGCCCAGTCAGTATAGAAGTTTAGACTAGAAACCAGGTTGCTTTAGGAGAGAAATCACTTCTCTGTGAATTTTTTTTAACATTACTTTTTTTTATTTTTTTAGGATTTGGGTGAAGATTTACAGAGTAAATTCACTTTTCATACAGCAGTTCACATATACTTTGTCTCATGTCATTGACCAAAATTTACAATGCAGCAGCTCCCCTCCCACTTCCTCCCCACAGTTACCTCCTCCCAGTGTCCATCCCTTCATACTCTTCTGCACCCTGAGGTATCTCCCTGTGCATAAGCAGCCCTTCCTTCTCCCATGATTGTTCTCTCCAGGGCGTGTGTCTACTTGAGGTAAATGTTTAACTCACATGCCTATACTTTGTTTGGCTGGAAACCACAGTTGTGGGTTCAATTCCAGACCTGAAGGGCAGCTAGGGGCCATAGTCTCAGTGGTTACACCAGGCTCTATTGGACCAGCAAACCTGGTCCCCCCCTTCTTTTTTTTTTTTTTTTGCCTCCAGATGATTTTGAGTTTTGTACCACATTATTCTCCCTCTTTATGCAGGATCTCCTACATCCCTTCCAAGTGGATGGCAGTGGTAGCTGGGCACCATCTAGTTCTTCTGGTCTCATAGTTATATAGGTTGCAGATCGGATGGTGTACCAGTCGCTAGGACTGATTGTTTCCATTAATTTTGGTTTTCTTCTTTCTTCTTGACGAGGAGAGACCCATTGTTGCATCTAGATGGCAGCTTCCTAGCTTTTAAGGTCCCAGTCGCTACTCGCCAAAGTAGTAGGTGGAACAATGTTTTGTATAGTATGTTATGCCAATTGAGTTTGATGTCCCCTGCGACTATGGTCCCAAGCCCGCAGGATCAACTACTCGGTCCCTCTGGGTAGCTGGCTGTGACCAAGTAATGACCATAACCTTGCCCCTTGTCAGCTCTACTATACACCTGGGAATTCTGATCATTCACATGAACTTATAGGCCCATTGTCTGCCAACCCTGTATATGATCTTGGATACACTCTCCATTTAGACATACCTAATTGTTTAGGTTTTAACATTACTTTTGAAGTATAATACTAAACTCCAAAAACCAAACCCACTGCCATTGAGTCGATTCCAACTCATAGCAACCCTTTACAACAGAATAGTACTGCCCCATAGGGTTGCCAAGACTGTAAATCTTTACAGAAGCAGAAAGCCACATCCTTCTCCTATAGAACAGTTAGTGAGTTCAAACTACTGACCTTTTGGTTTGTGGTCTAGTGCTTTAAACACTGTGCCACCAGGGCTCCCTGTGACAACCACAACTACCCTACATTTTCTTAGTGTTTTTCAATTTCAAAGAGCTTTTACATAGAGAAACTCTGGATTTTGCTATTCACAGCAAATGCATGCAGTAGATAGTGATGGTATCATTACCTCATGTTTTTGACCATAAAATAGGGGGTTGGTGTGGGAAGTGACTGGCCTAAGGCTACATGGTTTACATATAGGTGGGCTGGGACAGGAGCTGGCCTTCCCACACCAAACTGTCCTCTGTCACTTTAGCTGCCTAAGGCACCCTCTGAATCTGACTCTGAATTTTGTCTCTGTTGAGCTATCATCTTTAAGAAACATGACAATTCAAGGGCAGACCCCTGGGGTCATACCAAGGCACTGAGACACCCTTCTGGGGACCCTAAATTGATACTATATGTCAGTCACACAACTTCAGCCAAGCTCACACATGTTGTGAGAGCTCTGAGCATAGGCAACTCCCATCTCAGCAGTAATGTACCAACTTTATCCTTTAGAGTTCGGTTAAGTGAATAGAGGAAGAAATTATGACTTCTGGTCCAGTGTATGCCAAGGATACAGGCTGCCCCTGGGAAAGAAAAGAGGAAAGAGCCATCAGATAAGAAGTCTAGGTGACCTTCAATTTGCATGGTAGGTGTCTGCTGAAGAGGAAGCTAGTCTGACGTCAGAAGTGGTTGGATCTAAAGGGCACTACTCAATGGAAGGATGAACTTCTCGGGAAAAAGGGGCTGGCACCCCTATGAGGGCTGTTTACAAGGCCTGCTAGCATTTCTGGACAGGGAAGACAGTCACACTCTCTCAGTAATTCATGTCCACTTGGCTGTCAGTGTTTTGAATAACATTTTCTACAAAACAAGTTCATGTCCAGAAGCAGCCTGGCAGTATGTGCACTCATACATTCCTCTGTGGGGGCCACCTCCTGAAGACAGTGCTAGCCTCCATTACCAGGGAATCTGGGCTCAGAGGACACAGATTCAAATAGAAACACTTAAACTTCAGCTGATAACTCAGTGTCTACCTTTATTTCCTCCCACCAAAGATGAGCTGAAGCCTGGGCCAAGCAGCATTTGCTATGTGGAACTTCTCTGGGGGGCATGCTAAAACCACCTGCTTCATGTCCCTTTACCTGAAGGGCTCTTGACTTCCGCTGGCATTGCAAATATGCAGCTAGGAAGGAGAAAATGGAACGTGGCCATACTGGGAAAGAAAGAGACACTAGTTAAAGCAATGGGAGACTCTGGAAGGAAAGATGCTGGCAGAGTCTTGGAACTAAGACCAGAAAGGGACAGTGAAGATGGCCTTCCCAAGGGTGCAGAGTCATGAGGCAAATCACATTCTGTGGCTGGTCCAGATAGGATGGGCAGATCTTGGGCTTTGATGAGGATAGGGTAGGCTGAACCATGGGAGCACTATCCACATGGATCGTATAAGTTTCAGGAACCACCATCTATGTGGACAGGCTAAGGTGCAGGAGATGCCCTCAGGCCAGTAACGGTGTAGCACAGAGCTCCCACCGGACAGGGTGCCCTTCTGTCACTGGGGAAGATCCTTCAGTTTGGGAGATTTGCATAAATACTCTCTTATCCTCTTATCCTAGGGGCAATACAACCAGTGGTGTGCTGGTAAACTGGTTCTCTGAAAAAAGGAAAGAAAGAAAGAAGCCTTGATTTGTAGGGTCTTCAGATTTCCATAGCATAAATACACCCACCATGGACAATTACCACCTGGCTTGCAAAATTCCTAAATACCTGGCTGGCATAGAGTTGGCTCCAGTGCACCAGTGAAGCTTGTTATGGTTTCACTTCAGGGAACAGTTGCTGTTATGGCTGAGCCTTAGGAGTTTTTAAGTGAGAAAATTAAAGGTCCATTTGACAGCAAGATGGGAAGTTTCACTTTCCACTTGAAAAAAACTAGAGCATTCCTGAAACCCACCCTAGCTGCTAGGAGAGCTAGCTCCTAAAGCCAGCTTCACCTCCACCACCAATTCTTCAAAGACTTGGGCTCAGATTTCACAATCACAACATGGGGTTAATGAAGCCTTAACGGCTGAGAAGAGATCAGAAAGTAATGTGTTGTAAGAATTATGCACATATACGTCACATTTATGAAGACTGGAAGGAACAGAGAAAAACGTTAACAGTGGTGACTGAGTTTTATTTCTGTCTTTAGGATTGTTTGTGTTTTCTAGATAATCTGGGAAAAAAAGCTTTTAAAAGAGATATATATAAAACTAAAATGAACTTTATTTCTAGTCTACATAAATATATACTCTTTCTTTTAAATCCATATTATCAGCCTTTGTTCTAATTAAACAGTCTCTATGCAACTTTTTCTTTTCTTTTTTTAAAAAAATGCATTTTATTGAAATATAATTTATGTACAGTGAAATATTATGCAACTTTTTCAACAGATCTGTTGGTGTTTTCTGAAAAAGCTCCAAAACCAGAGTTTGTAGGCCATGGAGTAACTCAGGTACTTAGGCTGACTCCTGTGTGTGCCAGGAAAGGAGCAGCTCTGAGGACTCCAGGTACCTCCTCCTGCTCACCTCAGTGGTTCTCCCTCCAACTCCCCATCCAGGTACTTCTTGTATGAAGCATTGAAGATGGCTGCTTGCTGTTCCCACTGACTATCCTTGATGAAGTGGTTCTGCCCAGAGCCCAGCCCATAGCAGTCCTCGATCTTTGCAAAGACTTCCAAGGGGCTTTTAAATGTGGTGCCTGGGTTAACAATATTCCAGAATTAGTCAAACCATTTGACTTCCCTCTTGCCAATATCCTCTGACTTCCATGCTTCTCAGTTTCCTGCAGAACCCATCAGCCTTGTTTAGCACTCCATCTGTGACCACAGGTGTTTAGTCATCTCCCCTGCCTCATCCACTCACCAAACCCAGGCAGAGTAACTGCTCACCACCCTTCTGCTTCTACATCGCTAACCCCCATCATTTCTTCTGCTTCTGTTTTGCAGAGCTGAAAAGGAGGTCAGGGAAATGTCCACAATACCACTAGAGACCTCAGTCCACTGTCGTCATTTCCCCAGCTAAGGTACAAAAGCTCCCAGTTTACCATCATTGTTCAGCCGCTGCTGAAGATCCGCATAATTAGACAATCTTTTCTCTTCCCATGCTTATGTTTATCCAACTACTTTCCTTTAACAAAATCTTTCCCTGATAATCACTTTTCTCATTCCTTCTCTTCCCAATAACCTTCCATCTCCTTCTTATTCATCTTTCACTAAATCTGCAGTAGAAATGGGTGATTTATTTTCTAAGTTCCTACTCTCAATTTGAGAACTCTGCTCTCTCTGGAAGGTGCTCAGGTCCCTCAAGTTGCTTAGGAGGTCCTCAGAGTGCCCCAGGCCTCCAACCTATGGACAACCATTTTTAACAGTTTCTTGCATAACTCTCTAGAGAGAAACTTTTTCTTTTTTTAAACAAATGTATATTATGAGCTGTTGTTGTTTTTAGGTGCCATTGCACCGTCTCCAACTCATAGCAACCCTATGTACAACAGAATGCCTGTGCCAGCCTCATGATCCTTGTTATACCTGAGCCCACGGTTGTAGTTGCAGTCACTGTGTCAATCCAGCTTGTTGAGGGCCTTCCCCTTTTTTGTTGACTCTCCACGTTAACAACAACGATATCCTTCTCCAGGGAATGGTCCCTTCTGACCACACGACCAAAGTAGGTGAGATGAAGTCCGGCCATTCTCGCTTCCAAGAGGCATTCTGGTTGATTCTTCCAGGACAGATTTGTTAGTTCTTTTAGCAGTCCATGGTACTTTCAGTATTCTTCACCAACACCACAACTTAAAAGCATCAACTCTTCTTCAGTCTTCCTTATTCATTGCCCAGCTCTCATATGCTTATGAGGTAATTGAAAATACTATGGCTTGGGTTAGACATACCTTAGTTTTCAAGGAGACATCTTTGCTCTTCAGCACTTTAAAGAAGTCTTTTGCAGCAGATTTGCCCAATGCAATATGTCATCTGATGTCTTAACTGCTGCTTCCATTGGTGTTGATTGGTGTTGATGCTCTTGTTTTTTCAAGTAGAAAGTGAAATTTCCCATCTTGCTGTCAAATGGATCTTTAATTTTATCACTTACAAACTCCTAAGGCTCAGCCATAACAGTAGAACAAGTAATATAAAGTCTTTGACAACTTCAATCTTTTTTCCATTTATCGTGATGCTGTCTATTGGTGCAGTTGTGAGGGTTTTCGTTTTCTTTAAATTGATGTGTAATCCATACTACAGGCTGTAGTCTTCAATCTTCATCGTAAGTGCTTCAAGTCATCTTCACTTTCAGCAAGTAAAGTTGTGTTGACTGCATATTGCAGATTGTTAATGAGCCTTCCTCCAATCCTGACACCACGTTCTTCTTCACGTAGTCCAACTTCTCAGATTATTTGCTCAGCATAGAGATTGAAATAAGTATGGTGAAAAGATACAACCCTGACGCACTTCCTTCCTGATTTTAAACCATGCAATATCCCCTTGATCTGTTTCAACAACAGCCTCCTGGTCTATGTACAGGTTCCTCATGAGTACAATTAAGTGTTCTGGAATTCCTATTCTTCTCAATGTTATCTGTAATTTGTTATGATCCACACCATCAAATGCTTTTGCATAGTCAGTAAAACACAAGTAAACATCTTTCTGGTATTCTTTGCTTTGAGCCAAGATCCATCTGACATCAGCAATGATATCCCTCATTCCAAATCCTCTTCTGAATCCAACTTGCATTTCTGGAAGTTCTCTGTCAATATACTGCTGCAACCGTTTTTTTAATTATCTTCAGTAAGGTCTTACTTGTGTGCAATATTAATGATATTGTTCAACAATTTCCACATTCTGTGGGATCATCTTTCTTTGGAATGAGCACAAATATGGAACTCTTCCAGTCAGTTGGCCAGGTAGCTATCTTCCAAATCTCTTGGTATAACTGAGTGAGTGCCTCCATGGGACATCCGTTTGTTGAAACATCTCAATGGGTATTCCATCAATTCCTGGTGCCTTGTTCTTTGCCAATTCTTTCAGTGCAGCTTCGACTTCTTCTTTCAATACCATTGGTTCTTGAACATATACCAGATCTTGAAATGGATGAAGACTGACCCCTTCTTTTTGGTACAGTGACTCCATCTTCTTTTGATGCTTCCTGTATCATTCAATATTTTGCCCATAGAATCTTTCAATATTGCAACTCAGGGCTCAAATTTTTTCTTCAGTTCTTTCAGCTTGAGAGATACCAAGCATGTTCTTCTCTTTCATTTTCTAACTCCAAGACTTTGCACATTTCATTAAAATAATTGACTTTGTCTTCTTGAGCTGCTCTTTGAAATCTTCTATTCAGTTCTTTTATCTTGTCATTTCTTCCATTTGCTTTAGCTACTCTCCATTCAAGGTCAAGTTTCAGAATCTCTTCTGACATCCATTTTGGTCTTTTCTTCCTTTCTTGTCTTTTGAATGACTTTTGTTTTCTTCATGGATTAGACTCTTGATGTCATCCCACAATACTTCTGGTTTTTGGTCACTGGTGCTCAATGCATCAAATTTATTCTTTAGGTGATCTCTAAGTTCAGAAAAGATATAATCAGGGTCTTATTTTGCCTCTCATGGACTTGTTCTAATTGTTTTCAACTTGAACTTGAACTTGCATATGAGCAGTTGATGGTCTGTTCCACAATCAGCTCCTGAAGATATTGAGCTTCTCCATTGTCTCTTTCCACAGATGTAGTCGATCTGATTCCTGTGTACTCCATCTGCTGAAGTCCACATACATAGCCATCATTTGTGTTGTTGAAAAAACACATTTGCGTTGTTGAAAAAACACATTTGCAATGAATAAGTTGTTGGTCTTGCAAAATTCTATCATGTGAGTGCCAACGTTATTTCTATCACCAAGGCCATATTTTCCAGCTATGAGTGATTTGTCTTTGTTTCCAACTTTTGCATTCCAATCACCAGTGATAATTAACACATCTTGATTGCACATTCAGCCAGTTTCAGACTGCAGAAGTTGATAAAAATCTTCAATTTTCTCATCTTTGGCATTGGTGGTTGGTGTGTAAATTTGAATAACAGTAGTATTAACTGGTCTTCCTTGTAGGTGTATGGATATTATCCTATCAGTGACAGCATTGTACTTCAGGATAGATCTTGATAATTCTTTGTGATGATGAATGCCACACCATTCCTCTTTAATTTGTCATTCCCAGCATAATAGATCATACAGTTGTCTGATTCAAAATGGCCAAAACCAGTCCATTTCAGCTCACTAATGCCTAGGATATTGATCTTTATGCGTTCCATTTCATTTCTGACAACTTCCTATTTTCCTAGATTCATACTTTGTACATTCCATGTTCCAATTATTAATGGATGTTTGCAGCTGTTTCTTCTCATTGTGAGTCATGCCACATCAGCAAATGGTAGTTCTGAATGCTTTACTCTATCCACATCATTAAGGTTAGCTCTACTCTGAGGAGGCAGCTCTTTCCCAGTTGTATCTTGAGTGCTGTCTGATCTGAGGGGCCCATCTTATGGCACTATATTGAACAGTGTTTTAGGACTATTCATAAAGTTTTCCAGTAATATACCAGATAGTGTCACTGCTATTTATAAGGTTTTCACTGGCCAATTGTTTGAGAAGTGGATGGCCTCTTCCTTCTTCCAAGTCTGTCTTATTTTGGAAGCTCTTCTGAAACCTATCCACCATGGGTGGACCTTTGTGGCATTTTAAACATCAGTGGTATAGTCTCCAGCCTCACAGCAACACACAAGTCACCACAGTACAACAAACTGACAGACAAGTTCATCTCCCTTAGCTGTTCCAAAGCACTCCACTCACTTTTTGGTCTCCCTTAGCTGTTCCAAACCACCACTGGCTTGCTTCCTGCTCTCCCTTAGCTGTTCCCAAAGTGTGTTCCCAGATCAATAGTTTCACCACCTGGGAACTTGTTGGAAAATGTGTGTCAGGGTTGTATCCTTTCACCAGACTTATTCAATCTGTGTGCTGAAAAAATAATCCATGAAGCTGAACTATAGGAAGAAGAATGTAGCATCAGGATTGGAGAAAGACTCATAACAACATGCTGAATGCAGATGACATAATCTTACTTGCTGAAAGTAAAGAGGACTTGAAGCACTTACTTATGAAGATCAAAGCCTTTAGCAGGGATTACACCTCCAAGTAAAGAAAACAAACATCCTCACCACTGGACAAATAAGCAACATCATGATAAACAGAGAAAATACTGAAGTTGTCAAGGATTTCATTTTACTTGAATCCACAATCAACACCCGTGTCTTGAAAGAAGTATAGTCAGAATGCTCCTTAGAAGCGAGGATGCATAGACTTCATCTCACTTACTTTGGACATGCTATCAGGAGGGATCAGTTCCTGGAGAAGAACACCATACCTGATAAAGCAGAGGGTCAGTGAAAAAGAGGAAGACTCAATGAGATGGACTGACACAGTGGCTACAACAAAGGACTGAAGCATAGCAACAACTGCGAGGCTGGTGTAGGTCCAGTTAGCATTTTGTTCTGTCATATAGGGTCACTATGAGTCAGAACGAACTCAACAGCACCTAACAATAACAAATAACCATCCAAACACCATAGCTTTGTTCTTTCTGATTTTGAACTATACACAAATGGAGCTATACAATATTAACTTTATGCCTACTCTCTTTTGCTCAATATTAGTTTGTGACATTTA